AGGCGGAGAAGATCATCTGGCATCCGTTAGTTCACCAATCAGCCGAGTTAGTCAAGGTAATCATATATATCGCTGTCGGTATTAATCATGGCAGACTGACAACAAGGGATGGTAATTCTGACGCCGGCGGGCGAAGGTCCGGACAACACTAGGTTCTGAGCGGAACCTTATCCTTCCCTGGTTCCGGTGGGGTAGTTCTGAAGCCAACCGCAGCCGTACTAATACTGCCCACATGATGCTGATCTGAATACCTGGAAGTCAAGCCCTCTCGGAGGAACAGCCACTTGTCTCGGGCAGCACTCACCCTGGAGTTGCGTCCCTCAGTGCAGTATACTCCTGTACCGAGAATTATTCATATGGATGCTGGCATTCTAGAGTAATTACATCCACTTCTCATCACTACCACGTCTCATGTAGAAATTCACAGCCCGGAGTACTTTCCTAGCGAGTCAATGTCTGGAATATCTCAAGCCTAATTGCGCGAGAAATAAGGAACGGCGCGCCGCGGGGCAAACGTTGCTGCATATTTCTGGTCTGCTCTCATGCTTATCACTTCCCCGCTAGTGTACTGCCCCGAGCCTCCTGCGAGCAAAGGTTGCAATATAGATAGCTGGCAGGCTTAAATTAGTGCCCCGAGCCTCCCGGGAGCAAAGGCTGCAATATATTGTCCGTGTCTATGTCCTTGGGTGTGCCGTCCGAGGATCTTCTGGCTGTGGTTATGGTTAGGTTAGGGGCTGGGGGGCGCAGACGTGGTGCAAATCGTGCTTTTCATATATTTGCTGGGAGATTTCTGGAGAAAGATCCCGAATGGCCGTGTACGTAAACAACTCGGTTATTGCATATGAGAGGTTGTCGTCGCCAGTACAGACATGAATGAGAGCGAACTCTTTCAGCAATATGACCGAATTGAACAATTTGAACCGCAGGGCATGTGACCGCGACGTACCATCACGTGCCAAGTCGCGTTCTTAGCCAACGACGTTAACTGGAGCAGCCGTGGGATTTTGAGGATAAGACGATTGCTCCCAAAACACGAGTTGAGTGCACCGCGTGTATCCTCACTCCGCTCTGTTCGAAAGGCAACATAAGACATGGGTCGACTGGTAACTAACAGACAACTATCAGATATATGACATTCAATTCCACACCCTCATCCATAATTCCACTGGAAATGATTTTCTGTGAGCCACTAGCGCCGCAACGCAGATATGACATCCGGGGTATCGAGGCTTCTGAGACAGGGAGGAATTGTGTCGTTGCGTCGGACCACACCATGACGGGGAGCAGCAGTGTGGATGTAATTAGTTCCGCTTCCCGCCGAAGTGACGTTGGCGATAAAGTCCAGCACGGCCTCGTCCTCCGCCCCGGGCTGCAGCCAGATGGAAAAAATGCCAAGAGCGTGCGCTTGGCGCAAGATCTGGAGCGTCACCTGCCGAATGAATGGCGGTTAGTGGACAAGGACGGTGTGGCGCGGAAGGGCTACTGACGGAGGGCTGGGTGACGACGGAGATTGAGGTGCGGGCGGGATCAGCGATGTCTGCGAGCGATTGGAGGCAGGGTATGCCCTGGGATGTGGGGACGAACTGACGGTGCAAGGGGTCAGATATACAAGGGATCGCGGGGAAGGCGGCGGCGACTGACTGGATTGATAGGTGCGACATCCAGGCCCTTTTCAAGCATTTCCTTGAACACCTGAAAGAAAAAAAAAGGTCAATGGATACTTATATGAGCTGAGGATAGATATCATGAGTCATGACTCACGATCGTCCCGAATTTGGTCTCGTCGTTGGACGCACCCACCACGGCGAACGAAGGGGCAGACATGAACATTTCTGTCTTACTCGCGAGCAGAACGGCCGGCGAAGCAACGCACAGTCGCGATGCAGCGAGCAGGAGATAAGACGCAGAAATGAGAAAACGCATGAGAGGCTGTCGAGATTGAAGGTGCTGGTCTGAAGCCTAAGGATGGAAGGCTCACCTTTAAATGATCTGTGCTGCCTTCGGACGGGAACTTTAGGCGTGTCTTCCGCGGGAAGGACGGAATCGCGGGTCGCTATCATGATGGGACTTGGTCCGCGGAGAGCAAAGCCCCGGCTCCTGCGAAAAAAGAAGCAACAGACCGCGTTCTGAATTTTGGGGCACGCTGGCAAATTAAAATAATTATAACACACCTCTCTGAGCGGTCTCGATTTATGGCGATCATAAAGAGGTTCAATGCCAGTCGAGGATGTCATAATGCATTTTAGAAGACGGCCAAACGGCGCAACCTTTTTCTGTTAAAAGACCATGCCAAGGCCGATGTACGAGAGCAACGGGAGAAGATTTTCGACAGATGTAGATTCAGAGAAACGATCAAGTAAGACGGGACGCCCATGTCAGATGGGGGCAGGAAGCAAACAGCAATCGGGATTGAAACTCCGCTCCCTGATGCGAGCTGAACCACGATGCGAAACATTTGGGATGCCAGGATATGCATCCAGTCGTACGTTGCCTTATCCGACACGCGGAATTCTGACAAATTCACGGCCTCGTTCATGAAAGGATCAGCGGGAGACCCCGACCCATATATACATAAAACCACGAGCAATCTGCATATGCTCATGGTTTAATACGACTTCGACCACACACACACCCTCATCCTTAATTCAATGGAACATCATTTTCCGTGGTCCTCTGCTACTTGCGCCACAGCGTCGATATGACATCTGGTGCATTCACACGGCAAAATGAGTTATTTAAGTGCATCTCAAAACGTTTCCGAAATCAGTAGTTTATGTAGCAAAATCAGCAGAGCTGAAAATGTACCTGAAATAATAGGTTTCAGAAACCATTTCAGCTGCAGTTGCTGAAACAATAAGTTTCAGATAGCCTGAAAGCGGAAAAAGAAGCGCTTTCAGAACAGCTGAAGCTTATTGTTTAGGTAAGTCAGCTGAAATGGTGGCCGAAACCTATTGTTTCAGATACAGATTATTCCTTGCTTATTTACTTGCTGATTCTTTCAGTTTCGGAAACGTTTTGAGGTGCTCTGAAGCATCTCATTTTCCAGTGTGATTGGGATCGCGGCGGCAGGAACCAGGGGTGCCATCACTGTCATTGCGCCGGACCACACCTGCATAGGGAGCAGCCCTGTATATGTAGTTCGTCCCGCTGCCCTCAGAAGTGACTTTCGTGATGAAGTCCAATACGGCGTCGTCCTCCGCCCCGGGCTGCAGCCACACGGAGAAAATGCCTAGAGCATGGGCCTGGCGTACAATTTCGAGCGTCACCTGCCGACATGCAGGTCAGAATAATGCAACAAGAGGTGAGATTATACGCACGGAAGGCTGAGTGACAACAGATACCGAAGTGCGTGCGGGATCGGCGATATTCGAAAGAGAGTGGAGGCAGGGTATGCCCTGAGACGCGGGGACGAACTGGTGGTGGGGGTGCTAGGTATCTAGAATTAATTGGCGTACAGCGTGATTATGACTGACCGGATTGATAGGTGCGACGTCCATGCCTTTATTAAGCATTTCCTTGAATACCTAGAGGAGCCGGGGTCAGTTTATACTCGTGCGTCAATTGAAAGATACCGCAACTCACGATCGTGCCAAATTTATTCTCGTCGTTGGATGCGCCAACCACCGCAAACGAAGGGGCAGACAGGAACATTTCCGTCTTGCTTGCGAGAACTGCTATCGACGCGACAGATAGTCGAGCCGCAACCAGGAGATGAATCGTAGAAATAAGAAGACGCATTAGAGCCAAGAGGCTTTCAGGTGTTGAGGCTTTGGGTCTGAACTTGAAGCTTAAGGATAAGAGAGGGAGTTCCAGCTTTAAATGCTGGCTGACATCTCGTGCTCTGTGTCGTGGACGGCTGTTGCCTCCGGAGCAGAGATTATGAGGGGTCGTCCGCGAGTAACAGAATGACGAGATCGTGTGTCGAATGTTACACCATCACTGCGAAGCCTAGGTTAGTGCCGATCCATTGCACCCGGATAGGTCTCTTACTAAAAAAGGAGCACTAAGATTGTCGGAGAACGCCGCCAATCATCGCATAACCACCTAGTATCAGACTGGGCGACGGCGTTGCAGGTGTTCCGTGAGCAACAGCAGGACGGGATCGTGTGTTAACGCGATGCTATCATGATGGGACCTGAGCGAGGCCTCTTCTCCCGCAAATAGAAGCAGCAGCCCGCCCTCGCAATTTGAATTTAGGGCACGCCGGTAGTCACATCAGAACTATGTTACGAGCGGCCCAGCCCGCCTGTGCGTCATAGATTTACGAAGGCTCAAGGCCACTCCGAGTCAAGGATACCGGAGAATCAAGGGTGACTCAGCTAACTGCATCGAGAAGACGGTCGTTGAAGCTCGATGTTTTCCACTCAAAACACCCCTGACGCAGATATAGAGAGCAGTTAGAGAAGATTTCTTAGAAAGACAGATCTAACCTAAAGGAGATCCATAATAAAAGATCCACTACATTACTAGCTAGTAGTAGTAGGACATGAGATTCCCGTGCAGCTAGGACTAAAAGAGCAGAAGAGTCTTGCGCAAGCTTGAGGTCTGGTCGGTAGTCAGTAACACGGGCTTCAAGTTATAAGTGAAGTTGCCAGAGAAGCCCAAGTATTGAAGTATAGTGACGCGGCGCCCAGGCCAGATGGAGGCAGGAAGGAAGCAGGATTCAAACTCCGCTCCGGCTGATGCCGGATTGAAATCAAACGCGTCGAGTTGAAGCACAGTGATTAGTGGTTTACAATTCTGAATTCAAACGAGAATCTCGAGATAAAAATATTGTATTCGAAATCTAGGGTGCCGACCCAAAAAAAATTCCGGTTCCTCAGTCAGACACAGGATTCAAAGCCTGTCCGAACTGCCTCCAAAGTTTGACTTCTCTATACCGTATTCTATTGAAACCGTGTTATCACTGCACCACGTCTGACATGCAACCGAACACCCCAATCGATTTCGACCCTTAGCTTGGAATTTCGCAAACACGAAAAAAAGGATCCGAATGGCAATTCAGACGCAGGGATTCGAACCCTGGACTGCCTCACGAACGTCTGGTTCCAGTTCAGAAAGAGAAGTCGCGTTACCAACCACACCACATCTGACACTCTCCTTTCCTCCCTCAATTGACTTCGACCGCATTCTTTGTCTCTCAATCTCGTAAAATGAAAAATGAAAAAAAAAACTCCACGAAAGACCCATTCAGACACAGGGAGTCGAACCCTAACTACCTCAAACCTTTTCGGTTCAGATGGAAAGTAAGAGGCCGTGTTACCACTACACCATATCTGACATTGTCTTTAGCTCCCAACAGCTGCTTAGGTTTAGCTCTCGCGCAGATCCCAGATATGTCAACCTCAACAAAAATCAACCCTAGCTGTGCGTCCGCTTTCTATCCACTCAAGTCGAGGCACCAAGTATACGAATGGATTAACAACAACAACTAGAAGTACTACGTGTCTAAAACGAATGTCTTTGTCTCTCTCCCTGTCTCTTTTTTGTAACGACTGTGTATCTATCTGGTCCAATCTGGTCGGTCTGATCAGTGATCTGATCTGGAGCCAAGACCAAGCAAGACGAAGAAAAAAGTAGGTATGGTATGGATGCATGTACACTGAATAAACCGAATCGCTAGGCTACCAAATCCTCCTCCCTCCCTCCTTCTTCCTCACTCCTGTCCACCAATAACACAAAGTATAGGATAAAAGAGCAAGTTCAATCAATCATGCTTGAACCCGCCCGTCGGCAGCCCGACGACCGCCGCGCGCTCCGCCGCGAGGAGGTCCGAGAGGCCGATGTAGTACGCGACGAACGCTGTGATGATGCCCATCGCGCCGCCCGCGGTCGTCACCCTATGCGAACGCATTAGTCAATAAATACCGGACTGACTAGATGAGGATGGAGGAAAAACGCACTTTGGCTTCCCGCTGAACTCGCCCGCACCGAGGAGGAGGAACGTGATGCTCAGGAACCCGAACAGCGCGATGAACGCGATGGACTTGCGCAGCGAGGCGATCCTAACCGCCCCAAAAAAAAGACCGTCAGCTTCGTTCAATCAAATAACAACGAGCGAGCTCGAAAACGAAAAAGAGCAGAACGAATGAGTTGGACATAGAATGAACCAAGACAGTTGAACACAAGTTGAACAAGAGCGGGGGCCGCCGGCCCGGCGAATCCCCGGCGAAACGAACCACGCGCCACCCGACGCGTGGGTAAACGCGAAACGTGATCACCGGACACCGCGCGCACGCCGATCGTGGGTACGCGACGCCGGTCAGTACCCGACGTGGGAGCCATCACGCCCAAGGGGAATGAAAAAAAAAATGGCGCCCAGCGACACCTCGCTCTCGGTGGGGATGGGGACCAGAGTGTGAGTAATGAAATGGACGGCGCAGAGCGAGGTATGTACTATCCGGCGTCCGCAGCCTGTCAAATTGAAGACAAGAAAAGAGGGGCGGCGTAGGGTCGGATCATGGGAGCAAAATGCCAGTGCCACAATTGCGGGACTTCGAAATCGAATGATCGCGGGGGGTATTAGGGTGATAGTGATATAGTACGAGGGGGGAAATGATTTGGGTCTCGGCGGGGCGAGAGCAAGGGGAGCAAGAAGAGAAGAGAAGAGGAGGGGAAAAGAGAAGAGAAGAGAAGAGACGGCGACGCACAGAAGGAGCATGGTGACGATGAACCACGCAAAGAGGAAAATGCCGAGCGCAGAATGGAGCTCGTCCTCAGTCTTGTAGGACGCGACGATGCCGGAGCCGGGGATGAGGATCGTGGCGTACGAGAGCCAGAACGCGCCATACGACGTGAACGCTGCCCAACGTCAGTCTCGCGCTGGCAGGTGAAGACAGATGTTCGTACCGGTCGCGCCAAAGACGTTGCCGCGGGGGAACTCCCACATGCCGGCGAGCAGCTGGGCGATCCCACCGGTAAAGAGGGCCATGCCGACAACGACGTTCGGGGTGTGGATGCCGCGCACGGCGACGTTGTAGAAGCTGAGCATGAACGTGGTGGAGGCAAAGGAGAAGAGGCCGAGGGCCGCGGGGTTCGCGATGCTGCTGGGGCGCGGCGCGGCGGTGAGCGCGCTACCCGCGCCCTGGTGCATGCCCTTCTCGATGTCGCTCATTTTGTGGGTAGGCTGAGGGTGGTGGGAGGAGGGGAACAAGGGGCGGGTGTGTTATGCCGTGTTATAAGCGCGCCAACACATACGGCACATATACATCGATCCCCGGATGGACTACATCAGATACCCGCCGGCCGTCAACCAAGCTCTGCCTCCGACGCCGTGTTCGCTTCCCGACCGAGGACCGCCTTTGTCGCATCCTTCACTGCATTCTGTTTCTCTCTTTTTGTCTCTCTCTCTTTCCTTTTTTTTTGGTGGCGTCTCTCAACCCCACTCCAATTGGAAACAAACCCCGCATCACGCGATGCGGGGGTGCGGGGCATAGCCGGCGAATTGCAAAATTTTCTTGGCCTTCATGTCAGCCGCCTCGGCCGCTCTGGTCCCTCCCGACGGTCCTCATCCGAACACCCTCGAGGGGAAAGCGCGGATGGCGCCACTCCCCCACAGGCTCGCACTGAAACGCCACTCGTCGCCTCCCTCCCGTCGCACGCTTTCATCATCTGCGCACTGCGCGGGGCATTTGTCAAAGCCTAACCTGAAACGGCCACCCCCTCTTTTGCCGCCGCGCCACCAATTAATTCCCCCGATTAACTCGCTGCCAGCTCCATTCCGATGCGGACGCCAATTTAATTCATTAGGAGCTGACGCGCTGACGTTTTGTCGCCGGTTAGCTCCTTGCGCGCTGCATTGAAAATCCCGTCAAGTGACGGTCGGTACTTTTTGCAGGGTTATTTATATCCGGCGCGTTTGCGTTTGCGTATGGAATGACGAGCGGGAACCCGTGATCGCGCCAGGACTGTGAGTTTCTTCTATGTACGCGCGAAAATGAGGCTAACGGAATTTACAGGGAGAAAATCTGATGGACAGCGTACTGCAGCTCCACCATAAGCATCTGAAACGTCAAAAAAAACTGTCTGTCATCGTCCGCTACAGTCCGCTACCCATCGGAAAGAGACTTCGCGTCGCGTCGGCGTGTGTCACCCGGGCTCGCTTCGACTCGCTTGCATACTCACGAGAGTGCTGTGCTCTCGGCCTCTCACATACGAGGGAAATTTTTAATATGCCGGTGGGAGGATCTGTTCAGTTTTGGAAATGAAAAGTTCAAACTTACCGAGGCTCGCAGGGAGAGAAAGCATCCGACATGGTGTACGGTACACGGCCTCTCTTCTTCTGAAAGCCGTTGTGAAGTTTACGAGGCAGCTCGGGGTTCGACTCCCCGTGTCCGAATGTAATGGTGCTTTGAATTTTTTTGAACCCGCTGCAAAATATCTCGCTTATTGAACGAAGCAGGTACAGAAAGAACTCGGGCATGGTGTACGGTACACGACCTCTCTCTTCAAAAAGCCATTTGTAAAATACATGAGGCAGCTCGGGGTTCGACTCCCCATGTCCGAATTACTGCTGCAATTGCAGTCTTTTTTGTTGAACCAGCTGATAAATATTGCTCACCTACCCATGGTCGCAGGTATACGAATCGTAGGACATGATTTACGATACACCGCCTCTCCTCTTTATACTGCGCCGATAGGTCACCAGAGGCAGATCGGGGTTCGCCTCCCCGTGTCCGAATGATTGCGGTTGCCAGTGGTATTGACTTTTGGAAACCCTCTACAAAATATTGCGAACCTATTCAACTTCACAGGTAGATAAATCATCGGATATGGTGTACTGTACCGCCCTCTCGCTAGACTTGTAAGTATCCCGATGACTGAAGCTGATCGGGGTTCGACTCCTCGTGTCCGAATTTTGGTCGCGTGTAAGGTCTTTTTGAACCCGCCGAAATATTGCTCATCTATCTGTGTTCGCAGGTATAGAATCATCGGATATGGTGTACGGTACACCGCCGCTTTTCTTCACCGTTCGTTTGAAGGAAATTATGAGGCGGCTCGGGGTTCGACTCCCCTTCAGGTCAACCTGCTTTTTTTACTAATAGCCCACTGCGAAATATTGCTCACCTATCCAAGGTCGTAGGTAGAGAAATCATCGGACCTGGTGTACGGTACACCGCCTCTCTCGCTAGTTTTGCGGAGTCGGATGGACTGAGGCAGATCGGGGTTCGACTCCTCGTGTCCGAATGTGGTTGGTGCTCAGGATTTTCTTTTTTCAATTCACTGCGGAATCTCTCACCCATCCATGCTTGTAGGCACAGAAATCATCGGATATGGTGTACGGTACACCTCCTCTCTCCTTGCTGTGGTAAAACTGTGACCTGAGGCAGATCGGGGTTCGAATATGGATGATACTCACGATTTTTTTTCAACTCACTACAAAATACCTCACTTATTGAACGAAGCAGGGACAAAAATCATCGGACATGGTGTACGGTACACTGCCTCTCCCTGCGATGACAGCACGGTAACCTGAGGCAGCCCGGGTTCAAATTTACGCTTTTTGCCAACTTTTTGCAACTTGAACGTTGTCGTTTAGCTCTGTGTATTTTGTGATATGTGAGTAAAGGCAACTCACTGCCTGCCTTCTGTTCGGCTCCAACACACTGTCTAGATGCCTTTCTCGAGGCGGGCCATGTCATCTGCCGCTCAGGCTGGCCACCAGCTCCGAGTCCGCTTTTTCGCCACGGCCCCTTCTCAGTCCCTGAGCCAATCAACAAGCTAGAAGAGATCTACGAAGTCTTAAGGACGATGGAGAAGGGCACACCTGAATACACCGAACTGGCGCTCTCCGGTCGTGTTTGGGAGCAGTACACGCGGCCTGGAAACATCGCAGAGTTTCTCAGGGTGCAGGACGACCTGAGAGACTGGCTCAGAGATTTCGACGAACCGCGTCAAGCAGCTGTAAGCTGTAAGCAAGATGTCCTTGTCGACCATGGCTACCACCCTCGCTTCCGTCGTTGCTCACCAAAGCGTCGCCTTTGAAGACAATCCTCTTACTATCGGAGACACCAGTAATATGCGAGACCGCCTCTTTGGCAAGATTGAAATGTCGCCCCATGGCTGAGCGGGGTAACAATGCAATCAAATCCTCATTTCTTATGCTGTTTTCTTGGCTCAGTCCGCTGTCGAACCTACTGCAAGCGCTTGGCTTAGTGTCGCTCCCTCCGCAAGAGGAGCTGCTTTCAAACAAAGACCCCAACGCCGTCGCCGAGTTGCGAAACCAGCTCTTCCTATCCCAGTATATCGCCGAGAACGCCACACGCATAGCTTCTTCATCG